GCGCAAGTTTAGCAGAAGAGACAACAGCATTTTCCCCAGTATAGCAGGGTAGCGAGCTCTTGATAAAACTCCCAGCAGTAATATATCTGCTTTCCTATGTCAGTCTTCTATTTTGACCTCTTGCTGAGGAAAGGAGAGGACTTTCCTTGGCTGGTTTGCCCTCCTGTCATCAAGAAACCAATTTCTGCCACCTGGTTTGATGGCTGTGGGCCCAGGACAGATTACCATCTTCACTCTCTCTCCCTGTCTTTTTCTCTCCCCTTGGAAGTCTTGTTTGGATCATCTTCCTCCCCTTACCCTCCTTAATTAAAAAAATAGACACACACAGCAAAAAAATATCTCCATTCTGACACATCGTATCTTCCAGACTACACATACATCCTCCATGTTAATGCTTCAGGGGTTAATAGGTTCACTTGCAAAATTTCACTCCCTCTCCTCACACTTGTCTTTCCTGCTCTGCCATATGTGTCCTAAAATCTGCCTTTCAGTTTAGAACTTGTTAATTTTCCAAATAAAAATCTAGCTCTGAAAGCTACATCATCACAACATCATGCACTTAAATCATCTGAATATTGGAGACCATAAAGGAGACTTTGCCCTCTTTCTCTGCCTGCAGTGATGCAATAGGAATGCAATACGCTTCTCACAGACGATTAGGGCACGCATCGCTTAGCTCCAATGTAATTCAGATTACGTGCCCAGGTACTGAATTACTTGCCTTGTAGTAGTTGTGCTCTTCGTGGGATATGGTAAACGGCATATAGGTTAATTATAGATCTAGAAGGCCTTTGTTGCTGGGCAATGTTTTGGATGGGTTGATATACGTCAAGTCCTGTTATATTGCGGACTTTTTGTGAACGGTGAAATAAGATCATAAGAGTTTTGACTCTGAAACCACTGAAGTCATCTCTGTTTTTATTTTCCTCTGAGTTCAGAGTTTAAACGAAATATGTGTAGGTGCACATGGACTGTGTAGTTAGGAAATGTTCTGCTGCTTATCCTGTGACTTCTGGGGCTAAACCAAGCCCTGTATGATTTTGGCACTTTGCTCAATACTCCCGATGTCTAGCTTCTTCTTCATATATTTTTTTTCCCCTTTACAATGTAAAAAGCATTCGGCTGTAAGAGCTATACCTAGTACACACTACCTAAACACCAATCTGCTAGCATCTGGTTATTTTGTGAGTTGTCCGTGATGCAGAATACATCCAGATATAAGGTAACACATTTCTACAAGCAACAGAAAATATACTGATGTGCAATAAAACCACTAGTAAGAATAAGGAATCGCATAAGGATACTTCTAAAGCATCATAGTTGAAACACATATACTTAGAATTTTTTTAAAGCGATCCAAGTAATTTTATCAATATGGTAAATCAGCAGTGATTGTTCTTTGATTGGTATAGGCACGTGCGTGAGCAGTTTCTTCTAAGGCATGCCAAAAATATGCCAGTCTGCATTGTCAGCGTGTGGATGTAAATAATGCAATATCCCCCGCTTCAATTCACTTTTCTGGCTTTATTTTTTCTTAAAATGTAGAAGTGTGGGGGTTTGGGTCTTTTGTGCGCAATTGCAATAAAACAATATTCTTTTATTGCAGCACATCACTGAATGAGATGGTCTGGCTATAATTTTTGTTAGCTCACGGCCTTGAGAAGAGAGCTAGGAGCAGGGCCACTGAAGGCAGTGAGAATATACAGCATCAGTGAGGACTGAGTCATTATTGCTTTCTTTCAGATAGAATAGACGATGGAAACAAATTTTCCTGATGAAGTCAGACCACAATCTAAGGTATTTCTGTATAGTTACTTAGGAAGTGTCATAGGCCTCCAGGTTGTGCTCTGAAATCCTCACATGCAAGCCAGCTCCACGTACTACTACATCAGCCCAGCCTTGCGCACGAGCTGGTAAGCTCTGCTGAGGGGTGAAATATAGGATATTGTGTTCACCCTTGTGCTAATTTGGTTAGAAAGCTTCTTGGCTACAGCTGGTGCAAAGCCAGCAGGTTCAGAGCATGGCCAAATAGAGCAAGCGGCTATCTGCGTCTTAGAACGTAGGTGTGCCCCTCTGTAATGAGAAAGGCAAACACGAGTCTGCACTGTTGGGGACATGAAGTTTGGGGGTTTTTTTGCAAGCTCTCTAGCACTGAAAATTGGAGAGAGCTTTCTGTGTAAATTCACGGAGCAAGAATAAGGAAATCTGTGGGTTATGATGCCCTTTTAACATGACACATTGTGTTATGCCAATTTATACTGGCTGAAGTCTTGGACTGTAAGTGATTGATTCAAATTACAAAGTAAACAGGGGAGGAAGTTGGTGGAAACTGGTGTTATTTAGGGAAGGGCATCCTTAAAACCGTGTTGCAGTGGGAGGCTGGAGACACAGGCATCTGCTATGTGGACAAATTTAGTTCTAAAACCCAGTTCCCTTATAGTCAGTGGAGCACACCTACCAAATCTGGGATCTAGCTCACTTGCTTTCCATGGAGGATTTTCATCTTGTTTGAGCAGAACTGGAGTTTTGACAGAGATGCTTGATTAGAATAAATGGAGCATTCCTGTCAAATGCAGGCAACTAATGAATCCATGGGTAAGCTCCATTAATTTCAATACAGTGCTAAATGTGTTAAATGTTATGAGAGAGAGGTTGCTGCATATGTGCACTTACCAATTTTCTTAATGCTAAATTCTAGATGATTTTAAGTTCTTTATTTAGATTCCATAAAGCATGAATATAACCAATGTTTTCATATTTAGAAAGGTAAATAAGCATCTGTTCTGTGGTATAAAAAACAGGAAATATAATCTGAAAATATTTTTTGTTAGGATCTCCCATTCAAAAGTGGCTTCTTTTCATGCCTTCATTTTCAGCCCCAGAGAAAATCTTTGCCAATTTTCATCATAGAACAAATTTTGCTTTTATACTAATTGCCTTCTCCCTCCCCCAAAATAAGACTTCTGTTATATAAGAAAACAACAACAATAAACAGCCTAAATAACAATACCATAAACAGGATGATATAATTAGCGTTGTTATGTTACAATGCACCATTTCCTGTGTATTTCCATGACTCACGTCACATCAACAAGCATTAACTTAAACTCCACCTATTTTCCAAAAAACTGTCACTGCTAACTTTGGTCCATGGAGTTTTAGGAAGTTTCAACACAGGGTAGGTAGGTGACAAGCCAAGGAGAAGAGTGTAAGAGAGTTGTAAGAGGCCATTCCTCCTCCTCTTAGCATCCCTGTGAGGAGCATGAGTGATTTGCAGAGTATTGAATCCCATTTACATTCAGTTTAATAAAGGTATCTTGTCCTTTCTGTATCCACACTTTCATACACCCCCACCTCCATCTTTCTGCACTTCCCACAGAGACTTGCATCAATGCTTGGTAGGAAATCAAATCCTGCAGTAGGTTTTACAATAAGGGAATACAAGCAGATATCAGTTGACTCTTAGTCTCTCTTGCTGGGACTTTGTCTTTCTTTGGGGATTATCTCCATTGCAAGACAACCACCTTGGTTGGGAAAAGAAGGGCTAGAGATTCCTTACAACACTTGCACTGTTCAGTGTATATACATAAACTTACATAATGAATCACCGAAAAGCCATGGCTTTGCCTGGTGATGTCTTGACAACATCCAGGTTTGGAGATTCTTTCACCCATCTGGTAAACCTGCTCCGGTGCACTGGCCTCCTACAGTTTTCCCTGATGTCCAGTTTGAACGTCCCAGCCTGCAGTTGGTGGCTCTTGTCCCTGGTTATACACTCTGAAGAGTTTTTCTCCACAGTTTTTGTAACTCCCCTTCGGGCAGCGGTGGGCTGCGAATAGATCCCTCCCTGCCTCGTAACCTACTCTTTGTCACATGAAACAAATCCAGCTCCGCTATCTGCTCCTTTAAGTCACCTGCGTTAGGCTCCAGCTGCCATGGGGGTCTGCCACAGAGCCCTCTCCTGCTTCTCAGCAGCCTTTTTGAACTGTGGAAGGGAAAGCCAGGCATGTTATTCTGGCTGTTGTCTTACTCGCGCTGAGTAGAGAGGGATGAAAACTTTTCTTGATCTGCAGGCCGTACACTTAATGTAGCCAGTATGAGATTTGCTTTAGCTGTGATCAGAGAGTATGCTATTGGTTCACTTTCAGCTTGGGACCGAGTGTCACCTCTAGGTCCTTTTCAGCAAGGCAAAAATGTCTGTAACGATAGATGTGTCCTTGCGGAGGGGAGGGGGTATGCAATCTTTAAAACTGGCAATAACTGTTTCCTCCTCTCCCCTTTCAAAAAAGAAAAAAAAAATCCCTCTGATGCTTCCTTGCAAGTATATGGTTGGGAAGAAGGATAATGTTGAAAGGAGGAAACAACCAAAATCTGTTGTTTCAAGGTACCTCAAGGTAAAGCACTGTCTCTAAAATCAAGTGACTCCTAAATTCTGTAACTGTTAGTAAAAATAACTTACTTACCCTACAGTATTAAATCACAAGCTTTCCAAGTATATTTTCGCAAAATATTCAAATACAAAGTTAAAATAGCAAGGACACTGTCGTTGCTGCTAATGCACTGAGTCCTGTATCTGTCTGCATATTGTTGCAATAAAAATAAATAGCGCACATAAGCCAAGCACTTTCTTTTTTTGGTATTGGTTGTAAGAAAAAGGCCACTTTTCAACTTTTTCTAAAAACATCCCTCAGTGAGGTGCCTGTTATGTATGGATCTTTTTTTCTGAAAGGAAATTGAAAAAAAACTGTAAACAGAAAACAAACCCCTTTTTGATATAAGTGAAATTTTATTCAGTATTGACTATTATTAGCCATTAGGTGATAAGTAGGCAGATTGGATAGATGTTTCTTGAAATCCTACATAGTATGCAGAACATGCTTTCATTGTGCTTCCTGGCATTATAAGGTAATATGCCTTATTTGGAAATATAATGATCAGTTTTGTTAAATCGTATTCAATCGGCTTATATAATAACACCTATATTTCGTTATTCATTTCAGATTTCAGAGACCTATGCCTTCCTACCGAGAGAAGCGGTGACACGATTTCTAATGAGCTGCTCAGAGTGCCAGAAAAGAATGCATTTAAACCCAGATGGAGCGGATCATAAAGGTAGTTTTAGTGTCAAATACTGGGATGTAAAGTAATTTTATTCCTAATACCCATTTATATTTTCCTAGCTTAAGTGAGGGTTCATAAAAATTTGGTAGACTGGAACAGTTCAATAAGTCAAATCATCTTATTTACTTAAGCTGGAAGATAGTGAATATTCTGCTTTCTCTTAAGGATGGAATGCAATACCATATGCTCCCTCAATAGAAAGATGATTTTATCTCGAGGAAATAATTTATTTTTCTATGGAAGTGTTTATATGGGGGCTTAAACATAAGGAGTAGATAGGGTGCACGTGCTGTAGTCATTTAGGGTAGAACAACTTATCACTTTTCAGGGTTTGAACTTGATTTTCATTTTTCTTCAGGAGACTTCCATCTGTACAGCCTAGAAGCAATTGAAAATGCCAAAGTTAGAACTAAATGACCTAACTGTCTGACTTTGACTGCAGAGTAGGCTCAAGAAGCCTCCACAATTAACAGATAATGCATAATAAATATTTTTATTGCAGATAATGGAAAACCTCCAACTTTGGTGACCAGTATGATTGATTACAACATGCCAATTACTATGGCTTATATGAAACACATGAAGCTGCAGCTACTAAATTCACAGCAAGATGAGGTAAAACCTGAAATCTTTTGTTTTTCTCTTCTCCTGTGTTCTTTTGGTGCTTGTCTTTGTGGTAGCCAGGAAACTGAACTGAAGATGATTGTTGATCCCCTCTTTATAATTTTGTTGCTAAAATAGTGAGCCTGAAACCAAACCAAGGCTGTTTGCAAGTAATCAGGTTGAGAGAAAATGTCAAGACTTACTACCTTTCATGGTTGGGGATAATACGCTGTACTGCTTCAAATTACCTGAAGGTGCCCTTTTACTGTCTGGCCAGCAGAAAGGCTAAGGGGGCCAGCATGTTTGCCTGAGACTTGGTGCTGTGCTCAGCAGTGACTTTCATTGTCTACTTCTAGAAAGCAATGCCATCAACAGCTGGAATGAATGGCGTGGTGTTCTCAAGGTTAGCAGCCAGGATGCAACATATTACAGTGAGATGGATGGAAGCCCTGGCAAAATCAGTTGAAATCTTTAAGGCAAAAAGCTTGATAAATAAGAGCAGGGTTTCCATTTGAAACTTCGAATAAGAAGACAGAATCAAAAAGGAAGAGAAATAGGTCGAGAATCAAGCTTCTTCAAAGAGAATTGGAGTTCCATTGCATTTATTTCTTCTCAAAAATTATTTTTTTCTGTGATTTATTCAGAGTTTTTCCAGAGCTTAAGAAGTGCTTCATGAATTAGATGACACCTACCAAATTATTTGTAATAAACTCATTTTGCTAGAAATGTGTTCATTTACCATTTTAGCTGCCAAATAGTTAGAAGCCCGGCTACGTGCCAGCCAAAAAGCAGTCCTGCATGCTGTGTCCTTCTGCCTGACTACAAGATTTTTTTTTTAATAAAGAAAACCTTCCAAAACAACCTTAGCAGCTGGATTATTTCAAAGACCCTGACTGACTCCTGACTTCTTTGGAGTCAGCCAGATTTGGTTTCATAATAAATAGAATCAGGCTATTGGTGGAGATTTATGAATTATTCAACACCCCATAGAACGGGGATTTCATCACTCTTCTAGAGATATCAGGACTCTTGTTTTGCTTTTGCCTTTTTTTTTAAATTGTGGAGGGTGTGGGGAGAAATTCCCTAGTCTTCTGAGTTCTTCGTGCACAAATACAGCCTGGTTGTCTTTCTCACCTGTGGGGTCTCCCCTCTGCGTGCTGCCCCTTTTCAGGAGTCTGGCAGCAGGGTTTCAGGCAGCAGAAGAGGCTTTATCCCTGCAGCAGCCTTGGGTGTTCAAGAACTCTTTGGTTTTTCCACTTCCTCCCTTTGAGAATTAGCCCTCCCACAAGAGGGTCAAGGGCTTATGTTGGATCAGGGCCACCTGCCACAGTGCCTCTACAGCCTGAATGTTTAGGTGTAGTCTTTCTGGTCTGATGACCGAAATTTGTGTTAAACCAGTTTTTCATCTAGATGACCTGGTGGAGGTGATATGGTGGCAACAGGAAGCACCATTGCTTTTTACCTCCCTGCCGTGCCCAGATTTGCAGCTCTAATGTTACTCTGTATGAAATGTTTGTAGCACTGGATTTATGAAGATAAAGCAATTTTTTATATGTTTTAGTAATAATGTCTTTGCCAGGGCAGAGTGGGCACAGGGAAAGTTCTTGAGATAATCTTTGTCTTTTCTCAAGGCAGAGTTTTGCTAAGAACCTCTTTTTCCTTCAGGCTCTACATTTGTTGCACTGGAGAACGAGGTGGCAATGAAAATGCTGCAGTACAAAGCAGGAAGATTTTTGGTGCATACTTTCAAACTATTTAATGCACTTAAAAAACCTGCTTGCGTTTGTAGGAAGGCTGTTTCCAAGGTTTCATCAGTCATATCTGTATTCTTGTGGAGGGGGTGGAAATGAGACAGGAGTAAACTTGGATGCCACAACTACCTAGCACAGTGACTGAAAGCCTACTATTTCTCTCATCCTCAATTCATCATTTATAAGCTGAGGCCATCAATGAAAGGGCAACAGGCTTCATATAACAGGAGAACTCATCACTGTATGGGAATTTACAGCTGCTCTGCAAGCGGTACAAAGATGCTAGTGGCTCCCAGCTCCTCTCCCCATGCCCATGTGTCCATGCAGATTCAGATAAGTGCTTACAGAGTTTGGTGAGTGAGGTGGAGATAGTCTGCAGAGTGCTGTAGGCAAACACAGGCTGCCTGTGTGTGTTGTTTTATACCTATGCAAGCGTTGGAGAGCCAGAGCTCCCTCTCTGGGAGCCCATACAGATTGCCTAACCTCAGAACTGGAAAATGTTAAGCTGCTGCTTGCTGGTTCCTGCAGGATTCAATGAGAAACACCACTGTGTCTTAACAGAGGCACAGCCTTCCAGAAGGTCTGGGGGAGTTTGTGTTCTGATCTTGCTCTTTGAACAAGCAGTGTGCGTTTCCCCTAAACCTCAGAACCGGCTCAGTGTGTGCCCTGGCCCCGTCTGTCTGGGGCGGGAGGCCGGTGGGCACCACGGTTCTTGTGCGAGGGCAGTGTTTGGGTGTTTGCTGCTACTGCAACTGGAGTGCTCCTGCCTTACCTGGGCAAGGCAGACAGGTGCCCGCTAGAGAAGCCCTCACTCTTCCATTTAGTATTTGCAAAACTTTGGGAATGAGGTATATTTGTTTCATTATTGGTCCTTGTCCTGGTGTGATGGTGCAGAACAGCATCGCCTTGTGTGTTGTCCCACTCTCACTCTGAATGGCATTTGGCAGTACTTCATCCCGGTTTAACAAGAGTCGTGACTGAAGGGAACTGGCCTTCCGAAAATGAGAGAAACACCCATGCAAGCTGGAAACATCACTGAGACCCAAGAGAGGAGCTGATTTAAGGGCCAAGCACTCAGAAAAAAGAAAGCAGCTATATTAGTATCTGTAACCAGTTCACAACAAGTACACAGTAAATAATATTCTAAGGATTGCTATTTTTCTAGGTCAATTCTGGTGAGCAACCCAGAAAAATAGTATCCTGTCAGTTCTGCTTTTGTTAAGAAAAATTATATTAATTGGAAAAGTATTTTAAACTGATCTTCAGGGTATACAGAATTATGTGCCAGATTTTTCTCTATGTTCTTTAAAATGCTTTTCTTCATAACAGGAGTAATTATCTCAGAAAAGTTGTTACTGAAAATATATCACCTTAGGTTTGTATATTGCCTCAGCAGCTTAGAGAGTAAGACCTGTGGATGCTTAAATTTTAATCCATGAGTGGGTGCATGAGCTTCAGTGGGACTGAAACAAGTGATGTTAAACATGTATGTGAACATTTGCTGGGCTAGGTCTAAAACCATTTTGCTTTTATAAACGGGGACAAAATATTTGATCAGGACTTTTACTTTTTGCCCTCTGCTATCATCCCTAATAGATGCTCTGTAATTAGACTTGATGGATAAATCATATTAAAGATGTATAAGATAGAATAAATTTGAAATGATTCTCGTGTGATTATATTACTTTGGTTTGCCATTCACTGTCATTTGAAAAAGCTTTATCATTTTCATAGATGCTTCTTTAAACACAGTAGCAGTGTAAGGGTGACATCATGTCAGGGGAATTTGGTTGTGGATTCTTATTAGGTCAAGTTGCCATTTGGAAATATCTTACTGTAAGTGGTCATCACGGGGTTACTGACCTTGCTTGGGAAAGGTAGAGGATTCAGGCAGGGGATGGTGGAGAGCTCTTCTCAACCAAATTTGAATAACAAGGACTTGGTATGGGGTCTTTAGTTACTAGCTCTCTTTTGCAAAATACTATGGAAACAGTTACCAGAGTGCAGTAATGGAGTGTCCTCATAGTTGAACAAATTGCGTTTGTCGGATTATCATATCACATAAACGCTGTGTTTTCCTTGCTCCTCTTTATTTGCTCTGCTTGTTTGCTTATATACACAAAGATTTAGCATGATTACACTCCGCTCCAGGTGTGAGTGAAACAAATGGGAATGAGTGAACTGCACATGTAATGTGAACAGTGTGTGATGTTTTCTGACACGTCTCTGAAACTTTCCATTTGCAGGATGAAAGCTCTATAGAAAGTGATGAGTTTGATATGAGTGACTCGACTAGGATGTCAGCTGTGAACTCTGACCTCAGCTCAAATCTGGAAGAGAGAATGCAAAGTCCTCAGAACCTCCAGGGCCAGCAGGATGGTAAGGCTCTCGTTTCGTACAGAAAATGCGGTATTGCCTTGTCTTTTTGCCATTCTGTGCCTTCATTTAGTACCTGCTGTGTCCTTTTCTTCATAGTGTGTTTCATTAAGTAATTTGAAATGTATGTTCCCTATGTCTCAGCATGAAGAGGATGAAGTTGGGTTTTTTTTGCAGGTTAATTTATTTGTTGCTTAGGCAACAGGTGAGTGATTAGAGCACTATATGTTAAGTATTATTATTTTACTATTTCTATATATGTAGCGTGACCACACACAGGCATAAAAGGAAATGAACCTCAAACCGTTCTGAGGCAACCCAGAAGGCTGAGAAAGTTGGTTTTACTGGTTGAAATGAGGGAGAGAGGTGTGACAGAAGCATGGTTATTTGAGAGCTAGGAATTGGGATGTGATACTCAGAAGAAAGAACGAAAAAGACAAACGCCAAAAGGGAAATAGAGGTAAAAGAAGAGAAAACAGAACGAGCAGCATTGTAAATTTGAATGTTAATTATTTCTAGGTTAGTTACAACACAAAGCTAATTTGTTGGTGAAAGAGATGGAAGTTTTGCTTTGCATAGAGGGTGCATAGATGTGTACTCTTTGATTTCAGCCCTTGTTATAGAACAAGTTAGATGGGCCAGGTTTGGAATGAACTTTCTCCTTGGCTATGGAGCTCACAAAGAGCCTGTCCACTACAGATTGCGACAGCGGCTCATGAGCGGCGCGTGAATGCGCAACACCCAAAGCGCAGGTCTATTCTGTCGCTATGAGAAACAACATATTGGTATTCTGTACTTGTTACTCTGTAATTTCCTGATCATGTGTGCCAATTCAAAAGTGCTTCTTGTATTTCTCCTGACCACTAAATATATGGGATTTGACAGTTATGCTGGACTCTTTCCACGCTATGCAGCATGGTCAGTTGCTAGCTGGTAAGCTGTTTAGGTGAGAATGGGTGTGCTGTGTAGTGGCTGATAGGATCTGGTGATGGGTAGGACTTTCTGCTGTGTTGCTCTCCAGACAGATAAAGGAGGAGGTAGTCTGTGGTAATTTGGTAGGCCAGATTCAAACCACAGCTGCTTTTTGTCTGAGTGTCCTCAAGCTATCACAAAATTTGTGCAACTTTTGACTTAATTTCTGTCGACTTTTTTGCCAATTCACTTTCCTGTCAAAGTTTGACTTTTCAGGACTAATATATTATAATAGTACTGCAAAGTTAGAGTTTTCAGGGATACTTTGGAAGATGCCATTTTTATGTATCTGTCTTTCAGTGAAAAACTGTGCTTTAGAGGTTCTTGCTTACCTATATACTCAATCTATTTCACATATATATAGTGTTTCTTAATTGTAATGTGTTCATATATACGTCTGAAATAAAAATTCTAGCTCAGTACAGCAACCTAGGAAGAAATGCCTGCCATACATGTCTGAATACTTGCCGCAACCAGATTCATGTGCCACATCTAATCATATTAGAACAAAAGTGCAAATGATAAAATGCTGCAAATCTGTCACTTGCTATTTAAAAAGCATGGGAAATAAACACACTGTGGTCTTTGAACTGCAGGTAGTGTGATCTTACAGAATTGCTTTCAATCTCTCAGCTTTCCTTCCCTTACTTCCAGATGGTACTTGCTCACCTTCCTAAGGCAATCCTATTTTTTGCTGCATCTTCTGGCTAAAGCATCTGCTGATAGAGAGATTTGATGTAGCAGCTCTTCCTGCTTCATGGTTTTCCTGTGCTAGCTGTTGTCAGGTAGCAAACCTGACTGTGGCTAGTTATAGCAGCACTGCTTTTTCAGATAGGGAGAAGAGGCTGAAGGAGGAACTGAAAGACATTGGAGAAGCGTGGAGGAAAGAAGAATGATAGGAGGGGGCAGGAAAAAGGAAGACTGGGAGGAAATAATGAACGCAGGGACAGAGGGATGGAAGGAGGGAAGACAACAGGAAACTTAAATGAACTTAGCAGTACCATCACTTTTGCTGTCACAGCCTTCACTGTAAAATTTCACAAATTTAATAATTATAGCGCATGTACACCGAAGTCATCACCAAAGCATGAATTTGTGTGTCTAAAGTGATTCCTGCCCCCTTCCCTCAAACATTCTATATGTCCATGAGAGTTTATGTCAGCCACCACATTCAATCTACAGATAAAGACACTTGGCATTTGGCTCATCTGAAATGTCTTTGCTGCATTCTGGCAGGTGAAAACTCACTGCTGTGTTAAGATTGCCTGTGCACACACGGTTGGGAATGGTGTCTGAGGTGGAATGGGACAGCACAGGTCTGCTGCTGCCCCAAGCAACTGGGGGAATGATTTGCTAATGGGAATCATTAGGAAAGCTGCTGCCTGGGGTGGGTTAGTGACAGCTTCAGTGTACCTAAAGGTGATGTGTTCTAGCACTTTGCTTACCTGGATTTCCATGTGAGATGGCATGTGAATATTTTGGGACAACTATTGCTTTTTTTCCATAAATTTCAGCAAATTTGGTACTAGGATATAAACAGAGTCCGGGTACCCTAGAGGAATGTAATAGTGAGCTGGGCCACACCACTGAGGGATAGATGGAGGCACCTCTTCCAGTTCAGGTTACCAGAGCATAGTGGAATGCTGACACTATCTATGTAAAAGGAATGAGATGTTTTCATGCCCTCTTCCCTTGGGGCTATATCTGCGTCGTATTTGGACACACATTTGGCTTTGGGACTTCATTGCAGAACTCATACTAGAGAATTTGACCTGAGGTTTCCCATTGTCATCCAGTCTAGTACTCTGTGTTTTCTGTTTCTCATGGTTAGGTCGTTTGAACCTAAATAGAATACAGGCAAATATGAGAGCAACCCACAGTATCAGCTGAAAGCAATAGACTTCTTCACCCAGAAAAATCATGGTAGGTAAGAAAAATGCTGAAAAGGAGGGCACAGAGAGGGAAGGCGTGTGTTTGCTCGCAGTAGATGGGTGCTGGTACTGCACGAAAGTCCTGGGCTCTGCAAATGTACTGAGGCTTCATAAGATTGCTGGTATAAAGCATATTAGGTTGAAAGGGAACAAGGAATTGAGGAAGAAATGAAAAGTGGGGAGAGTTGGTGAATTGTATCCATAGTACTGAAGTTGCCACAATACTATGAAGGACAGTTCCCACTTTAAATTAGCCTTTGTACGCTTTTAAATAACAGCGCCTTGAGTCACACCTGCTCGTGAATGACTGAAAATAGCATCCTGAGCACCTGCAGGGCTGCTGCAGCAGTGGGGGAGGAGTTGGAAAAGAGCTGCTGCTCTTCCCTGGGGAGTTAGAAAAGGAAAGCAGCTCTAATTTGCAATGGGTTCATTCCCCAGCTGCGAATGGGGTAGGGCTATGTGGTTACCAGTGCCTCAGAGCTGCTTGCCCTAGCAGCCAGCTGGATAATAGGGCTGCAAATTGCTGGTGTGTTCCTTTCTCTTTTGCACCCTCTCCCCTTGCTCGCCCCTGTTTTCTTGTTTCTCTATGCATGCTACAGCTCCCTTGTCCTAAGCTGGTTCTTTGGAGCGAGCCCTACTCATCTGCAGGCAAAGCTCCCACTTGAGAGCTGTCTTTAATTCTCCTTTCTCCTAATAATGCTCTAGGGACTCTGATGTTGCTGGATCAAACCCTTTTGCCCTTGTCCCAGACCACAGACAGCAGGCAAGGTTTGAAAACTGCGTTGGAAATAATGGAGCTTGTCTTTTTTTTTTTTTAATTAGTGCTTCAACCAGTACAAAAATGATTTCTGTAGTGAAAACTGACCTCTAGATAGGTCTGTCAGAGGGGCAACAAGCGCTTCTACCCTGAGGGAAAAATGGGACTCTTGTTGCCCTTGCCTGTTAGCCAGAGCCCTGTGCAGAACAGCTGAGTCTGTGTGCTCCCTCACTGTGGTGGTTCATTAGTTACCAAGACACGAGAGAGGTGTAGGGGGATGCTCTGAGTAGAGGAAATTAAGAACATGCACAGCTCTAGAAGTAACAAGAGTTAGGTCTAAATTTTACGTTGAATTTTTTTTTTTCACTACATGAGCTATCAAATAAAAATCAGGGATGAGACTATTTGACTGTAACTCAGTGCAAGATGCAGAATTCCTTTATTTTCAGTATTTCTCACTGTACTGAGGTACACCAAAACATATCAATGCTTTGTCTGGATTTGGGTGGAGGGTCTGTGTTCTCTTCAATCTAGTTTTTAGAAGATGATAGTTATGTGTTTATACATATTTATATAGAACTCCTCCTCACAGGCACTGTATGGAGACTGTGCTTATAGCAGCCAGATATGACAAAATATGCCACTATTCAACCCTTGACGGGGGTTGTGCTATCATCTTAGACGTGGAGATTACTAATAAGCTTTTCCTGGTTGTATTTTTTTCAATTTATAGAAAATTGAGCAGTAGTACTGTAAGGCAATGGAGGACTATGCCTTCAAAGAGTTTGTGGTCATTTGGATTGTGCCCGTTCTCTTTCCCCAGTGTGTTCAAGGCGCCAGGCTTTCCACAATGTAGATGTAGGAGATGTGGTTGTTCACATTAACTATTCCCTTCACTCATTTGGTGTTTCTGGTAGATACAAATATTGGAGTCAGTCATCTAAATACCTGTTTTATGTATTGAAGCTATAATCTTTACTTGACAGCTTCATGTGAAACAAGTAACATCAACCAATTAAGTTGTCAAAACTGTCTGTCTGTGCAAGGGTGCAGAGTTTGCTGTACCTGTGCTTGCCGTTGGTTTGTTCACTCTGAACGGAGTCCAAGCCAAGCGTTTAATCCATCTTCCCATTCTCAACTGGTTGTACTGTCGCACTCCTTTCTGCTTTTGTCTTTATTCCAGTAAAACCTGGATTCCCTGTCTTAAAACATTGACTTTTCTTTTTCCACAAAGTAATTTAAGTGAGATGTATGGGTTCAACCACTGCAGGCCGAAGTGAAGATGGATTGGTGAAGGAGAGTATTGGAGTAAATCGTCTCTGCCGTTGCCTGTGTTTTGACCC